TTTAAATATAGTCAAATCTTCATATTAAGAATTCATTCAAAAGTAATAAAATTTTTATTGAATATTTAGCTTTATATAGTATTTTAATTTATTAAGTTAATTTATTAACTCATATATCAGAGATAGTAAATTCTAGTCTTATTTAATTATAATATTTAATTTATAAAAATTAATACAGAATCATAGTTTCTTTTTACTGCAAATAATTAAAATTAAAAATATATAGAGAGCTGAGCTTATTATAATAAAGTTCTTTGTCAAGTTTATCTTAAAATAAATTTTTACTGCTTTTAATTTCTTTAGATTTATTTTATATAAACATTTAAAATATTAAATATTTATGAGAGTTTTATTTTTATAGTTAATAAAATCTGAGAAATATATTTCTTTAAATGAATATCATAATGATAAAATAATGTAGAAGTGGTCTAACTTAATGAAATAAAAGCTAGAAATATCTATTTTTACTAGTTCTACTAAAACAGCTGCTGGACCTGACTTTATAAATCACTTTATATTATAAAAAGTATATTTTGAACTAAAAGAAGAACTTTTTGCGTTATTCTTCTCTTTGGTAAAATATAAATATCATTCAGTATGCTGAAAAGAGGCCACAGGAGTTATTCTAGCAAAGTCTAATAGAAAATCATCAATTTCTAAATTTTATAAAGTTATATCTCTACTAAAGTATTTAAAAAAAGATTTTATAAAAAATTATTGGTTTTAGATTTTTTTTTTAGTCACTACTACTGATTTACTATATAATGATCAAATAGATGGGAAGAAAAAATCTAAGATAATTAATAAATATTACTATTAGTGAACTGTCAAAAGAAGAGGAAAAAACTATATATACTCAAAAACTTCTAGAGATAAATAAGAACTTATTACTGACATATTAAGATGGTTCAAAACATAAACAAGAACAGTTGCAAGCTGATATAGCAGTTAAATATTCTAAATCAAATTCAAAATATAAGATGTTTTAATAAAATCTAAGAAAAGAGTATAAAGTCTTTAATACTGAATTATTTGCAATTTAGAAAGCTTTTATAATTGCTCATAAAATGATATCTCAAAAAGCAAATATTAATAATATTTAAATATTCTCAAATAATTAAACAGTATTGAAAAAACTATAGAAATATAAAATTCAAAGTGATTAGATAAATCTTAAATTAATTCAAAGAACAGTAAAAGGAATTAAGATTAAGAATAAAAATATTTAGATTTATTTATCTTAAATATCTACTTATACAAATATTCTAGAAAATAAAAAAGCAAATTTAGCAGCAAAGATTGAAACTAAAACTCAGAAAGTAATTCAAAGAATTATATTCTGATTACGTATTAAAAGAAAGATTAAAGAATCATGTCTTGATAAACGAACAAAGATCTGAGAAAAGAAGAAGAAAAGCACTCAGTATGTGTCACGGCTTCAATCTAAGTGCAGGTAAACGGGTGTTTGATTGCCAACTAGGTAAGCTACATCAACGAAATACTAAGATGATTCCTAAAAGACGGGGGTCCGGGCAAGGCCTGCCTTATAAAGCCCTTAGCGCCTTACCCCATTCCTTAGCGCTGTTGCTATGCAGCTTCTGTGGGGTAATTGTGGTGTGGTTGCTATGCCGAACTTCGGACGGAGCCTGTTGTAGTTTGCTCTGTCGGGTGGACTTATGAGGTCGGTTGGTTCTCTGGACGGATTCCGTTCTACGCCATCACAGTATGCAAGATATGAAATGAAACCAAAGTGAAAATCTATATCAATAAAATTCAGAAAGAAAATATTTTTCTTCATAATACAATTAAAACTTGAAAATAGCTATTTTAAATCATATATAAAAAGATTTAGAGATTCTTAGAACTTTGATAAATGTGATTTTTGTGATATAGTTGAAAATTCAGATACTGATGAATTGCTTATTAAATGATAAGATAAAAAAGAAAATTTTTAAAAATAATTTAATTAATCAATTAAATATAATCTTTCTATTTAATACTAAATTAGAAAGAAAGTTTTTAATTAAGTTTATAAAGAAAATAAAAATTGTCTCTAGAGAAAGAAATTCAATATCAAATATATTTGATATTTAATTTATCAAAAAGCTGAGAATATTTTCAATAATACTTTCATTAAGATTTCTTTTGTATTAAGTTTGTTATTTTGTTTTATTTTATTTTATTTTGTTTTATTTAAGTTAAAAAAGACTGGATTAAAATTAAAACTATAAATATATCTTTTGTTAAAAGATTATTAAATGCTATATTATGCTGAAATGAAACTTTGTATATGCATGAATTGATTGCTATTTATTAGTTAGATTAGTAAAATAGTTAAATCCTACTTTAACTAGATAGATGTCATAGTTACTGACTGAATACATCTTAAATGAAGAAGAATAATAATAATATTAATAAATTTAATAAAAATTCATCATGATATTCAGCTTATAACTTCAAATAATCATCATACACAATATATTACTATCATGATGCTAAGTCTACAAAAGCTGGATCATCAAAGCAACTGAAGAAATGATTAAAAACATGGAAGACGAGCAACTATCTAAAAGATGAGAATGATGATAATCTACTAGCATGAGAACATGCCTATTTCTAGATCAGAGGTGATGATAGGCTCAGCGCGCCAAGGCTCACTGCCAGATTAGGTCTACCCCCATCACATGACCTACTGAATGGTTTATAATCCAGTCACATGACCATGTGGGATGTTTATCTATCAAGTTTAGTATTTCATTATATAGCATGTAGAGAATTCTTTCTTATGCAGCTCACATTCACTTCTAACATTGGCTGAAGTAAATGATGAAATCATGAAAAAATGACACAAAACTTCATTCATTCAACATTACATTTTTAGGTGACAATAATGAAAGTTTAAAAAAACTTCACCTCAGCAGAGTTTCAACTGAATTTGAAAGAGAATAAGAACACATGATATCATCAAATGAGAGCTTGACTTCTTGTCTCAGATGGAATTTTTGAGAGTTTAAGTCACTCTCACTTTTTACTGCATCAACTCAAGATAAGTAAATATTTATTAATAAAATATAAAATTTTTATATATAGAATTTACATTATACTTCATGAGCTTTTTTATAATATAGTAATTGCAATACTTTTGAATATAAAAATACACTTTTTGATTAATAAATCAATTTAATTTAATTTATAGTTATTATATAAAAATACTTTAAGTTAAAATCTAGTTAGTTAAAAAATATATAACTTAATAAACTTATTTCACTTATACGTGAATTATATTATTTCAAATTAATAAATATTAATTATAATAAAATAAATTGAACTTTATCTATTTAATATTATAATAAACTAATACTCAATGAGTATTCTTTCATAATGAAATAGTTTATGCTTAGAATATCTTCTTTTCATTTAAATTATTTTTCTTTCACTTTTATTATCCATTCTCTTTTCTTTATACTTCTACATGAATTTTTCTTTTATTATATAAGAATGTACTAAAGCTGTATTAATACAGTAGCATACTCATTGTAAATATTCAGTAATTTTAAATATAAATTAACTTATTTTAACTATTTTAATTATTAAAAGTAAAAGATTAAGTTAGAGAGAAAGTATTAAGCTTATATTTAAGTTTATATAATAATACTACTTAACAGTATGTGAGTTATGATATTTACTTTGAATTGTGTTTCTACATTGATGCCTAGAATGACTAGTCTCTAACAATAGGTCAAGCAAGTCAAATAACTAATTAGTTCTCTAGAGATGACTAAATAGAGTTTTATATCACATGAGTAATTGGTCAAAGTAAATGATAAAATCAGGGAAAATGATACAAAACTTCATTCATTTAACATTACATTTTTAGGTGACAGTAATAAAAGTTTAATTGAAAAAAACTCCATTTTAGTAGAGTTTCAACTGAATTTAAAAGAGAGAATAAAAACATATGATATCATCAGATGGAGACTTGACTTCTTGCTTCAGATGAATCTCTGAGAGTTCAGATCACTTTCACTTTACACTGCACCAATTCAAGATAAGTATAAGGTCCCATCTTCAATACTTTGATTCTTCTTGAACTCCATTGACATCATATGGAATCAACATGAAAAGAGCTAATTTCAATAAGTTAATTGCAGTACCTCCAGAGCTAGATTGAACTCCACATCAAAATTGAATATGATGTTACCCATAAACTTATAAACGCGTGTCAGAACTTTTGACGCTGCTCTGACCTTTCTGATTGGTTTAGAATTTAAAACAGTGTAGATCTCAGAGCATTTAAGACTCTTAATCAAAGATTTGTGAGATAACTGTTGACAAGAGAGATATTTCAGAATTTCAACAATTTACTCATGAGATATATCTCCTCAATAACTAATTTTGAAAATCTAAAAGAATCATAAAAGATATTTGAGAGGACTAGAGCTGATAGCTACTTAGTAATCATAATATATCTAAAGATAAGTCACTCTTATTAGATGCAGTTATCGAGCAGTGGATAAAGAGATAATGACATTTACAGCTCTTCACAGATCTATCAAAGTTTGTTAAGAACTTTGAAAAAACTCAAGAACAACTTTCAAAAATATTAACTTAATCAACAAAGCCCCTAACTTATATTGAAGTATTATTTATAAAGCATAGTGAAAAGATTGGTATAGGTGGGTGACATCAGTTCATCTGTGCAGTCATTGAAGTTTCATATGAAAAGTATGAAATGGGTAACATTGATATCATGGCATCAAATCATGAATTGCCACAACTATGAACTTTTGAAAGATGAAAAAAAATGAATGATAAAAACTTATATATAGAGACCTTTGACATGCTCAATTTTATGTTTTTTATCTTCTACTTCTATAATTCTAAAGAAAGCAGGACTTGATTATTTACCACAGAAGTCATCGATTCATCTCTGTTCTTATTATACCTTTTACATCATTTCAAATAGAATATTTGCAACATCTACGTCTGCAGATTTCAAAATGAAGTTCAACACTGGACCAGTAGCAGCCGTCCTATACGTATTGTTTTTAGTGTCCTCGGCACGAGATATGAGGGGACAATGGAACTGGAGTGTATGCAGCTTACAAACATGGGTAGGTGTATCCGATCATGTATTTGGATTTAGTCTACAACTAACGAAAACATTAGTGTGCCAATGATGAAGATTGTCGGAATCAGCCAGATTGTGTAGACAAAGCATTTGTAAGTGGATTACTTGTTAACAGTACCTTGATATCGGAAGCGCTGGCAAAAGCTCTGGCTAACTAGTTGTTAGGACCATTCTAAGTCATTGATTTTCTGCTCCGTGAGCGCGGTTCATCCTTATACTTGTTGGGCTTGGACGGTAAGTAACCCCTTCTGATTATAGAGGCTCTTGGGCCAATTGTTAGATATGTAGACTAACAAAGTCAAATAACAGGGGCCTGATGCTGCTAACGGAAAGGGCAAGGGCGAAAATCCAAAGTAATATGCATGTCATATCGATAATATACAACAAAGCAGCTCCGGATAGCTAGCCGTTTTCAACTTACAGTTAATAAATATTGAACTTGTGGCGCACTCTTTAATATAATTATAACCTGTTGACTTGAGAAGAATAATGCAAATAATTAAATAACTAGTCTTTCACTAAAGATTCTTCTTCCTCTACTTCTTCTTCATCTTCATTTAAAGATGTATTCAGTTATCAACTAATGATATCTATCAAGTTAAACTCGGATTTATCTATTTTGTTAATCAAATGCAATTTAAACCACACAATTATAAGGTTTCATCTCAGGATAATACAGTATTTAAAACTAACTTATTGTAAAAGCAATTTTATACAGCCTCACTTTATTAGAAAATCAATAATAATGAATAAACAAAAAAACAAAAAATAAAAAATAAAAATAAATAAATAAAAACAAATAGAAATTAAACTAAAGACATAAGAGAAATAAGAAAAGAAATTTAAAAATATAATATTTAATAAAAGAGATATAAAAAATTGAAATTAAAATTGAAATTTAATATCTGCTAGTTATGTACTGAAGTATCTCATTTAAAATTATAGTTTATTCTATAAAAATGATATTTAATTTCTCTATAAAATTGATTAAAAATTTTCTTTCAAATTTAGTATTAAAAAAAATTATATATATAGCTGACTAATTGAGTGTTTCTCTTTTAATTTTCTTCTAGTATTATTATTTATTGAGTAATTTATTAACATATGATCTGAATTTTCAATTAAATTCACAAATATCATATCTGTCAAAGTTTGTATAGTTTTGCAATTCTTTTAAAATTTAAAAGAAAATGTTTAAGCTTCAATTATATTATAGAGAAAATATTTTCTTCTTGCATTTTATTGATATGAGCTTTCACTTTAATTTTATTTCATATCTTGCAAATTGAAAATTTTTCTTTTTTCCCTCTTAAATCTTTCTTCATTTATCAAAACATATTTCTTTAATTTTTTTGATATAAAATCAAAAAATAATGTTTTGAGTTATTCTCTGAACTTCAGTATCATTTTTTACTGCTAAATCTGCTTTTTCATTTTCTAAAATATCAACATGAGCAGGTACTTACACTAAATAAAGTAGAATCTTTTTATCTTTTAATTTGATTTTTTAAACTACTTCTTGAATTGAATTAAGATATATTTAAATACTTTGAATTTATTATTTTTTTTGAAATTTTTCAATGCTATTTAACTATATGAAAATATTCAAATACTTTTAATATTAGATTTCTAAATGATAATCTTATCAACTGCTGTAAAAGTCTTCTGAATTGCAAATAACTCAGTATTAAAAATATAACTTACTCTAAATTTAATTTAAAATATGTCAAAGCTATATCAGCTTCTAAATATTCATGTTTACTTTTTAAATCATCTCTGTGTATAAGTAAAGAATGATTTTTATTAATCTTTTATAGCATTTGAATATATGTAGTTATTTCCTCTTTCTTAGAAAGTTCACTAATAGTAAATATCTATTAATGAACTTAGTTTTTTTTCAAAGAATAAAGCTTGTTATGATTTATATTTTTCACATTTAAGCTTGATATTGGATCTTTAATCATTGAATATATTCTATAAAGCTGAGGAGATAACATCTTTTCTTTAATTTTCAGAAATTTTATTTTAATCCAAAAAATTTTCTGTACTTAAGTTTTTATCAGATATATTTGATAAGTATGAAGTAGATACTCTCATTTGAAAGAATAATTTTCTTTCTATATTAAAGAGTTTAACTCTATTATTTAAAGTTCTTTCTATCTGAGCTATTTTTTTTAAACATGAACTTTAAAGTTAAACTTTGAGTTTAATCAAACTTCTAGTCATTTTATAGAATTTTTTCATCTTATAACTTTATCATAAAAAGTGATAGTTTCATTTCCTTTAGAATAAAAGTGAATCAGTTTAATTTTATTCATGTTAAATTGAATTAGATTTTTATTTTCTCTTTCAAAATTTTTTTGTATAGTTATTTTTATATTATTATTATAGTTATTTTTATATAGATTTAAAACTGATGATAAAATCAATATTATCAACATAGCTAAGAGTTCTTACTACATATACACTTTTATTCATGAATAAATTATCTGTATTTATAGCAAAAAGAGTAGATGAGACTGGAGATTCTTGAGAAACTTCTATTTCAATTAAGGTTTTTTTTTATTTCATTACATCAAAAAAAAGCTGAATAGTTTTTTTTGTTATAAAACAGATGATTTATTTTATTAGAGATTCTGATAACTTTAGCTCTTGCATAATTAAAACTGTTTTATTTTTTGAAAAATAATCAAAAGTATCTTTTATATCAATAAAAGCAGTTGTTGAAACTAGACTATTATTTCTAGCTATTTGAATATCATAAATAGCTGATAAAACTGCATCTATAGCTGAATTCTATTTTCTACTATTTATTTGATCATTATATAGTAAGTTAGTAGTAGTGACTAAAAAAAAGTCCAAAACTAATAATTTTTTATAAAATCTTTCCTAAACAGTTCAATAAAAATACGACTTTATAAAATTTAGAAATTGATAATTTTCTATTAAATTTTGCTAGAATAACTCCTATAACCTCTCTCCAGCATATTAGATGATATTCATGTTTTATCAAAGAGAAAGATAATGTAAAAAGTTCTTCTTTTAGCTTAAAATATACTTTTTTATTATAAAATGATTTATTTAAGTCAAGTCTAGCAGCTGTTTTAGTAGAACTAGTGAAAATAACTATTTCTAGCTCATCTTTCATTAAGTCAGATCACTTTCACTTTGTCTATCATCGTGATATCTATTTATAGAAATATATTCCTTAGATTCTATTGACTTTAAAAATAAAACTCTTATAAATACTTAATATTTTTCTTGAAATATATTAGCAATATGATCTTGATTTTGATATTTATATTTTAATATAGAAAGCTTTATTACTTCTCTAGATTTAGTATAGTTAAAAGCTTTAAAAACATCTTTGTTTTCTTCATTTTTAAGAAAATTATTTCAGCATTTAGTTTTTACTCTTTTGATATTAGAAAAGTAGTTGTTTTTGATATCTTTATATATATTTATAGATATCAAATTCTCTTTTCAATCTTTTCTAGCTCTAGATAATTTTTTATATTTATTACTCAAAGTCTTAGACCATCAAAGTTTTAAGTAATTTAATTGATACTTTTTGAGTATATTATCTTTAATATCTGATAGTATAATATTAGTTATTAATACTATTTTATTTTCTAATGTAAATTTTAATAATTTAGTATTAATATTTTATAAATTTTTTTGATTTTTTTCTTTCAAAACTCTTATTTGATTTATAATCTCTGTCAATTAAGCTTTTTCAAAGTTACATTGACTAAATAATAATAAATTTTCAACTCTATCATTATCATATAATTATATATCAAATTAAATGACTTTATAAACTAATTCTGATACTTTTTTTAAATTAATAAATTAGTTTCATACTTTTTTCTCATGTAATTTTTAGATAAAAAGATTAGATTTATAAATGGCATTTTTAATAAATTTTATTTATAGTATATTTCTTTATCATATTTATTAATTAAATCAAATTCTTTTAAAATCAGTCAATATATCAATTTGTCTGCTCTTATAAACTTAGTGTAGTCATCATTCTACTATAAGTGATGAGTATTAAAATCTCTACTTATAATTAATTTTTTGTTTACTGATAAGTTTAGAAGAGTTTTATTCACTATTCAGCTACTATTATTTTTCTGTAAAGATTTTTTATTCTAGATATTAATTAGCTGAATAGATTCAATTTAATTAAATTTATTTATAATATTATCAACTAGAATATCAAAATCTAAAATCATCTTATATTTCAAATTAAATTAAAATCTTAAGCTCTTTCTAAAGTATATTATTACTCTAGATTTGACTTTAGTTTTCTCTGGTTAAAAATAATAATAGCTAGAATATGAAATTTGAAACTGATGCTCAATATCTAGATTTTTCTTTTATATTAAAATAAAATTAATTTTCTGAACAAAAGCTGTATTTAGATAAGAATAAATAGAAATATTATCTCTTTCTATATTATTTTATAAAAATATAATTTTAGAAGAAAATTTTTACTTTTTTTTTCTTTTTTTATTGTAATAAATATTTAAATAATTATATAAATAAAAATTTTCTCTTTTTATTATTGTAATTCACTATTATTAATAATTATAATAGTTTTTATAGAAATTAATTTCTGAGGATTAAAAATAGATATTTTTATAAAAATATTTGCATTGATAGTTTATTTAATTTTTACTGAAGACTTGCTTTTTGATAATCTCTCTACTTGAGAATTCCTTTTTTTAGTTCTACCTCTTGACTGAGAATTTACTTTATTCTTATTAAAAACTGTTTTATCTCTTTAATTCTCTCTTGAGATATTATTTCTTTTATTTTTTAAATAGAAAGAGTAAATTAAAGCTGTTGTTATATGATTTTCCTTGCAATTCTTGCACTTAAATATGATGTGAGAACATGATTTACTCTTCACATCACATATGACACAAGTATGATCTATTGTACTATAATTTTCTGCACAAATCTCACATGCTATAGAGTATTTGTGAGCTTCTATAAAGTGATCTCATTTTTGATATCTTTTGCATTAAATATGAGTTTTAACTATAGATCTAAAGTCAATATATTTAAAAGTTTTTAACACTTAATTAGCTATAAAAAGTAATGAGATTTTTATCTGTTCTGAAGACTTAGTACAATCAATATTAGTTCTACTTTCTTTCTTTTATCTAATATCAGATTTACTCAGTCAGATAAGATTATTCTTCAGTTGAATTAAAGAATTATAATTCTCTATCTCTTTTTTTAATACTGTTATATCTTTTTTATTATCAAAAATATTATTAAGAATATTGTAAATAATTGATTTTTATTATTTCTTATCTTTATCTAATTTAATCTCTATCTGTAGT